TCAAATAGATATTCCTAGATTATACAAATGCCAAATTTCTATCATTAATGTGTGTTACTCCCATTGCATTGACACTTGCAAAGAGGAGTGCAGTCTAGGCCAGCCTTCACACATTTACATCTGGTACACTGCTACTTGCATGCACACTTTAGTAAATAGCCAGGCAAATTGATCAGGAGAAGGAATATCCTGGTTGCTTATGTCACTCGTCCAGATACCTGCATGGAGGATAACTTACTGAAGCTCTCTTAATATACTGCAATAGTGCATTCTAGAGACAAAAACGTTGGCATTAACAACGGTTATGTTTCTAATTATATTATTTTCAATTGTCTTACCTGAGTAGGAGGAATATTGCCAATTGCTCTGTTGTGTCTACAAAACAGATCCATTCTCACATCGTTGATGGAGCTCAAGGGGCTWGACTTATCGTACATGACGACAGTCATTCTTTCAAGCTCATGGAAGTGGGTTGAATCTGAGGTCAGCTGCTGAAATAGATGTATAGCAAGGAACTCCAAAGTGGGTGTCACATTGTCGTTACAAAGTACCCAAGTCCGGGTACCCAAGCCTGCCAGGCAGACCGTTTGCCTTCCACAGAATGAAGACGTAGTGTCGCAGCCGGTAATAGCGTGGAAAACAGGGAGGGAGCGCGACTTCTGTACACCAAGGGAAGCACAAATCCTGTTAATGCTAAGAACTTGAAGTTTCTTCCCATTCCAAAGGCTACCCAGATATCCACGTCTGAATTGACGGCTTTCATGTCATGGAACTTCCCAACAAGAATCACCACGACATCTGTATCCACAGTTCTGACAAGAGTTGTGACGGTATCTTCAGTGTTCAATGAATGACGCATTTCTACGCTATTACCGGCTGCGACACTACATCTGCATTCTGTGGAAAAGACAAACGGTCTGCCTAGCAGGCTTGGGTACCCGGGGGAGGCACTCCCATATATTGAAGGGCGGGGATGCAGGCTTGGGTACTTTGTAACGACAAAAATTCAACCCACTTCCATAAGCTTGAAAGAATGACTGTCGTCATGTACGATAAGTCAAGCCCCTTGAGCTCCATCAACGATGTGAGAATGGATCTGTTTTGTAGTTTTGTCTCTAGAATGCACTATTGCAGCATATTAAGAGAGTTATCCTCCAGGAAGGTATCTGGACAACGAGTGACATAAGCAACCAGGATATTCCTTCTCCTGATCAAATTGGCTAGCACAAGATTGACGACGTGTGGACGCCTGTTTAAATGACCATTTCAGAGGTGTCAAAGGCTTGCCAGGAATTACACCATTTGCTGTTCATAAACCGCAAAGGAATATTCATTGAAGCGAAGAAGCATTGTCATTAGAGCGAACAGGCATACAATAAGGCAAACGGAGTCTCAATAGTGCGATTGAACTTTCATTAAGAAATTTAGCATTGAATTTGACAATCATGAATATGTTTGCGTGGGTTCATTAACGTTTTCAAACTTTCATTAGCGTTTTGAAGCAGACAATAAACCACAACACTTATTCAATACAACGTTTTGGACATTTATTTACGCAATACAAAATAACTATATTGTGCTTCTACGATTGTACATTTTCAAAAACGAAAAAGTGAATTTATCCTTGAATGTGTTCTCTATTTAAACATCTTGGACGATATGTTTGCATGTGGTTGTACCATTTTATGCATTTCTGTGGATCTTCATAGACCCTCACAAGACGCTATCTGACTTCATTTGCAATTTGGTTTCTTTGTTGTGCCATTGCAATATCCAAAAAAGAGGGATTAAAAAACTCAGAACTGACTTGATATTTATACCTAACGGCGCTTTGTTTGTACGAAGTCATGTTCACGGCTTGTAAAAAAAATGAAAAGACAGTTAAAATCCTACAATTCCTGGTGGAAAATATACTTATAT